GATGAACTTGACCTGTCTGCAGGAGACATTTCAGATGGGCTTAAGCTCCCAGTTCTCTTCAGAGACTCTTCAGTGGCAGGCAGCTTCATACCTTAAATTAATCTTGAGACTTAATTAAACTCCACTGTGCCACAGGTCCACACAGGCAGGAACAAAGCCACAGATTCTATTTAAAGTCTGTCAGAAAGGTAGTGTCATAGTCCATTTTGTATTGCTGCACCAAAACACCCAAGACTAGAGCATTTATAGAGCATAGAAGTTAATCTGGCTCCTAGCTCTGAAGGCTGCAAGTCTGAGGACAGTGCCAACATCTGCCCAGCATCTGGTGGGTGCCTTCCTGTGGTGGAAGATGGGAAGGCAAAAGAGCATGTGCATGAAACACAGACAGCAGGAGACCAAACTCATCCTTTTTATCTGGCACCCACTGGTGTGATAACTAACCCGGGTCCAAGGTAATAGCACCCATCACTCATGAGAGCTGTGCCTTTATATCCTGTCTCCTCTTCAATGCCCACATCTCAACACTTGCAGTGGGGGTTAAGTCTCCAAACAAGTGGTTTGGAGAACACATTGAAGCCACAGCAGGCAGGATACATGGAGAAGACTTGCAAAAGTAGAGAGAAAGACAAACGAACACACCGTATAAGGCAGTACTGGAAACAGAAACTTGACAATTGAGAGTCTTGGATCAAGTATTGGCACCCGGGCCAGCGATGCTGCCTACCACTCATCATATGTGTGTCCCACTGGCTGTAGGCAATCTAAGTGGCCGTGACACTTCCTCCAAAGACAACTTCTCGGATTGTGTGACTGAGTTTTACTCAGTGCAAGAGGGTGATGTTTTCCTGGGAAACAAAACAAGGGACACAACATCTCAAGTAGTTTATTCTAAGGCCCCCATGGTGAAATCAATGGGGGAGAGACAAAGTCAAGTGTGTTGTGTATAGGGAGTTGTCACATGAGGGCGCAAGCCACACTGGGCCATCAGCTGGCCCTTCAAAACTCCTGGTAAATGCTTTAGTTAAGACTGGTCTTGTTCAGCTAGATATGGGAAGGCAATGAGGCCTCAAGTTCAAATGCATCCCTTAAGTTAGAGAGCCTGAATTGGATCTTGGGCTTCTACATATCTACCTCACAGCTTTCTGTACTAGCTGTGGACTCTTTAGTCATGTGTGGCACAGTAAAATGAACACAGTATAATAATGCTAAAAGGATCAGTTGACCACGCCATTGACAATCAGCACGAGTGCTGCCCATTCTTGCTTTCCTTTCCCTGGATGTGGTGGGACTTTCAGGGGGGAGGGCCTACCAAACATAGGAAAAAAAAAGAATCTAAGAATCAAGCTAGAGTTGATCCTAAGCCTCTGATTCTACTGTTTCCTCTTCTTTGAGGACCATTTGATTCTGGATGCCCTTCTGATTGTACTGCCTGGTCACATGAAAATAGTCACAGAGAGGAAGGACCATTCTACCATATTCTACTTGAGACATCTGGAGTCACTGATGTGGCTCTAGAATATGTCCTCAGCACTTCTTTTCCTTGTCATCTCCTAGCTGAGGTTGAGAGGAAGGAAAGATCTCATTCTTCTCTTTTATAGTTTATATACAGATGTCCTCTAAAAGATTCATGTGCTCATAGATGGGTATTTTGGAAGGTGATTGAATTAGAGGGTCTACAGCTGGTTTGGTATGAGGATGTGAGGTCTGGTGGGAAGAGGAGGTCACTGAGGAGTGGTCTCAAGGGTTTATCTCCCTCTCCAGCTCCTCCCTTCGCCTTCTCTGCTTCTTTGCTGTCATGCTTCTCCTCTGTGTGCTGTCTTGCTTTGGAGCCAACTGAACATGGACCATAGGCATAAGCTAAAATAAATTATGGACATCAGGGGTCATGTCCCAGTGATGAGGAAATTCACTAAGACATCTCCTTAAGTTAGAATGGCAATTATGGGTCCCCTCACAACCTTTTGCCATAACAAACATCATGGATGGCTGCAGCTTTCCACCAGATCATACCTGTGAGTCTTCCCTAATTGGATCTTTAAATTCTATGACTAAGATGATATCAAGGATAATAAGAGGACCTATCATAGGAAGGGTAAGACCATCTCTCAATCACTTATCTTGTGCCAAAGTCTTTACTGGGTGCATTGCCTACATTACTTTGGTAATTCTGCTTTTACCCCTGAAGCTTGTAGGGGTAAATAATTTGCCAAAGGCCATACCACTGATCAATAACAAGTTAGTTCACAGACCCAAATTTGTGTGGCTCTAGAGACAGATCTCATTACAGTAATCCACTGCCACTCCAGAAGCTGAGTTCTGGGATTGTTAGAATCTTTTCAGTGCAAGAGAGTTGCAGGTTTTGCTCACAGGGATTCATCTCTCTGAGTGCTCAGGTGTCACTGAGGAGATAGGCAGAAAGGAGAAAAGGAAGTGCCCCCACACACATTCTTCCTCTCCATTAGAGCAACATCACCTTTGTCTATGTCATAGCTGAGGCACCTGCATGAGAATTCTTTGGAAGATAGCTTTCTGTTGTTAAGATTTTGTAAACCACTCTCCAAGCACTGGAACATATGCCCACCAGAGATATGGAAAATATTCTCCTCAGTTCCAAGACTGGTTCCAAATTTTTGTCCCAAGTCCTATGAAGGAAGTAGGAGTCAGCATTCGACCCACTTTGTATGGTCCTTTTATCCTATTACTTCCCTCCCCAGAGAGGATTTTCTGCATTCCACTCCTCCAGCCTGCTGCTAGCTTACAGCAACAAGAGATCTGTTCCCACTGTCGCCCATCAATGGTTAGGATTAAGCAAAACGTTTGTTTCCTCTGATGCCCACACTACCAAAGGGGCAAGGCTAATAGATGTTTATAACAGACTCTCAGGACAAGGGACTCACATTTCTGCAGTTTCTGCAAAGGTGTGAACACTAGTCTTGATTTCATTCAAGGGAAATTTTATTTCCCACATGACATTCCAGGGCCCCTTCCTTCCCATCTGTACGCTGAAAACCTCACAGTACCTTTCCATCTTTTCCCTCCCAATTCTCCCTGATAAACTCCAAGGAGAGCAAATCTGCAGTTGCCGAGGAGACAGGAAAGCCTGTAATAGCATGCTGTGGTTTTGTCACCATTTAGAAATATTGAGTTCTTACTCTGTGTGTTCAATGAATTTAAAAACTTCTATCCTCTGATAGATATATGATACTTTTTCAAAAATAATTTAATGGGCTTTTCCCTCCAAATCTCCAACTGATACATTTGAAATTAGAATAGCTTCAAAGAGCCCCCAAGATACTAACTAATCTCTTGCCCCAGCTGGAGAAACAGGCCTATAAAATATAATTCAGATTCACTTTTAATCTTCCATCAGTTTAATGCTATGAAAAATCAAAATACAGCAAAATATGGCAGATCCATATGCAAGACTTTGTATGGATTTACAACAGAAGAGTATCAGAAATATGTATGAATTTAAGGAGCATTTCTTATACTTGCAAGGAAACTGAGCCCCACAAGAGTTATATGATATTCTCAAGGTCCTTCAGCTGCTGAGTTACAGTTTTCTTGCCATACAGCCGCACTCTGAATTGGAGGTGTCTCTCAGAGGATGTTTGATCTTACAGCCTTTTGAGGTTCTCAGAATAAAAAGCAGCAAATGATAAAGATGTTAGTGTCTATACGATTAGCCAGTATTCTGGATTATGAGACATACCATATGCTTCATCATAGCTAAATGATAAAACACTTCGGGTGCAACATTTTCTAACATGGAAGTCCAAATGCTAGTAAATATTTTTATATTAGAAACACTGTCCAAGTGTAGAAGCCCCAAAATGTTTCAAACACATTTCAGTGTGCAGATTTTCTTGAGTAGGAAAGAAAGGAAAAAAGAGAACATGAGAAGGAGAAAGAAAGAAAATGAAAGAAGAGGAAAGGGAACGGAGGAGTGGGAAAGAAAGAAGCCAAAGTAAAAAGAAAGAATGAAATAGAGGTTAAGAAAGGTCAGTACCTAAAACTCCAAATAAGAATAGGAATAAGGAGATGAACTCACAGAATAAGGGTGATGTATAAATCCCATTATTTTCCCCAATATAGAATCATAATTCTTTTGATGTCAAAACTGAAGAAATGATATGTTCAAAAGCTAAGCCTCTCCATTAAATATGTAAAGCACATGTTTCCCTAGAGCCATCAGCACCAGGATAACCCTAGAATTTACACCTTTTCTTTAATCAGTGGAGAATTATCCTAGCAGTATTATGTTTGATCACTCTTCATTTTGGCCACATGTTCTTAAACGGATTGTGGCTCACCCTGGATTTATTTCCTCCATTGCCTTCCTGTGTCAGGGGGCTGATTCCATAAATCCCCTTCTGGGTGATAGTAGGATTAAAACAAAGCAGAAATGTAAGCAGGAGTCTCCTTCAGTCTGGACACTGGGGAGAAGTCATCTTTTAATCTAAAACATATTGTAAAAGTGATATTAATTTTTTCTTAAACCATATAAACTACATTATTTAAGTCCATTGATCCCAGTTGCCTCCACATTTTAAGAGTAATTTTTATTTGTTAATAACCACTTGCCCATTGTAGTCCGTATTCTTGCAGCTCAGACACCTGCCTTGTGCAAAGCACCACTGAGGACATAAGAGTGAAGTAGATGAAGTCTGTCCTGAGAAAAATGAAAACACCATGTACTCCCCAAAGGCATTTAGCTAGGATGCAATAGTCCAAGATTCAAGCACAGGCACATTTTATACACACCCCTAGCTATAAAATACAGAGGGATGAACTAGAGCACAGCCAGGGGTCACTGGATCACAAACAGGAGAACTTCATTCTGCTGAGAGCCGCTGGGGGCTGGTGAGAGATGAGCCAAATGTTCAAGGGCAAAGGCACAAAGGAATGAAAGTAAAACTCAGGCAGCTGCAGACTGATCAGTGCACACTGTGGGGAGCGACTTAAAGAGGTGATCCTGGAAATGGAATTTGTGCTCGATCATGACTGCTTTGAAGACTATAGTAAAGTGCTGTGGGTTAACTTTCACACCTGAATTGTACACTAAGGTTTGAGCAAGTGGATGGAATGGTCCGATTTGTTACTCTGGAGAATCACTCTAGAAGCATTGTGAGCAATTCATTGAAAGTGAGAAGAAAACTGACTCAGAAAAACGTGTAAAAGTCCCTTTCATGTCCAAGTCAGCCTGGAGATGGTGCACATGCCTACATTTTCAGCATTCAGGAGGCTGAGGTGGGAGGATCTCATGAGCCCAGCAGTTCAAGACCACTCTGAGCAATGTAGCAAGATTCTATTTCAAATAATAAGGATAACAATAACAAGTATTAGAAGACATTTCTCTAAATTTGGGAGTAGAGTAAATGAATGGAAAAAATTCTAGAAAACTAGCATTAATTATAAAACCTAAATTATTGATTTTCTGATAAGTAATATATAAACATATATATTCTCTTTTCTACTGGAATAAAAGTCCAATGGAAATTTTCAAATTATATATACAAAAGATTTAGGCAAAACCACCAGGTAATACATTGCAATGACATTTACATATATAATAATGCTCAGTTTACACAAATTGTGGTAGGAACTCTGAAGAAAAAGAATTCATGAAAATGTTTAGGATGATTCACACTCAATCTTGTGTCAGAATAGGTTGGCCCACATGTCATCCTCTAGTTTAATTTCAATTCAAGGATTCCAGAATCCCATTTATTTATTTGTTCAGCATCTGTAATATCTGAAATGCACAATAATAGCTATGGAAAGTCCAAATATTAATAAGACCTAAGCCAATATCTGTCCTTAAGTAGGTCATAATTAAAAGGAATATGGGAAAATTCACATCTAAAAAACTCAAGTACAGTATTGACAACAAGAATATCAGTGGTCCCCCAGGACAAATCTATAAGAAATTCTTATTTAAAATATATATAGATATAGATATAGATATAGATATAGATATAATACTGATGCTTGTTAGGATATCTGTGTTTTGTTTTGTTTTTTTTTTTTT